GTTTAATATTCAGAAAAATAAACAGATCAGTGGTTTCCCAGAGAGTAGAGGTGGCCAAGAGGCTTGTGGGGGATTTTAGATGGCCCGTTAGCAGTAGGGGTTTTCTGTCTTAATAGTCACTGTGTGTCTTTCATTATGGCAGGGTGCTGTGATTCACTGCAGGTTTGTGAATTCGGCCCCTGTCTCTGCCACTGACTAGCTGAGCCATGTCACCTCAGTCTTATTACTCACCTGCTCACTGCACTTTCTGCATCTTGAATTCAGAGCATCTTGGAGGTTCCAGAAAACTGTTCCCCGGTGTCCAAAGGCCTAGGGGCACACGGTGGCGGCTGAATGAACTGCCTTTACTTGGCTGATAGGAGTCAGGGGAAATGGTTCTTCCTAGTTGGAAGGAATTGGGAATTGATCTCTCTGATCCCTTGACCACTCCTCACACTGTCAAAATAATCCCAGTGGCCTCTGGTGAGTTTTTACTGCAAATGCTCTTCAGAGGGCTTCAGATGGAGCAGTGACTTCCCAGGTATGGTCACTGGGCCAGCAGCAGCAGTGGCCTGTGGATACAGAATTGTTCTCAGCCTCCACCCGATCCTCCTGAATCAGAAGTGGGAAAGGGGCCAGATGCTGTCTTGACAAGCCCTCTTGTGCACAGGGGATGTGAGAGCCATTTACTGGGTAAATTAGTCAGCTTTCTGTCACTGTAACAAAATGCCTGAAATAATCAACTTCTAGGGAACAAAGTTTCATGTTGGCTCATGGTTGTAGAAGTTGCAGTCCATGGTCATTGGCCCCACTGCTTTGGGCCTGTGCTGAGGCAGAACATCATGGTGAGAGTGTGTGGCAGAGCACAGCTGCTCACTCATGGAGGCTAGAAAGCAAAAATAAAAGAGAGGGGAATTGGCCAGGGATAAAATATACCCTCCAAGGGCACATCCCCAGTGACCTAGTGCCTCCATCCTCCAGTCCTAACGCACCTCCTGAGATTCCACCACCGCCTGTTGCTCGTTAAGTTTTGAATCCACAGGTGAGGTTGGAGCCCTCGGGATCCAGTCACCTTCCAAAGCCCCCACCTCTGGACACTGCTGCATTGGAGACCAAGCCTTCAACACATGAGCCTTTGCAGGACATTCCAGATTCAAGTCATGTCCCTGGGTCCCCTCACCCCTCCACCTCAAGTATCATGCCCCCCGGTTTTCAGATGAGGAAGTTAAATAGGAGGATGCCGTGTGCTTCTTGTTGGGTTTATTCTTTCAGTCAAGGGCAGAGAGCCTGCTTTCTCTGGGCAGCCTTCTTCCACTCCCCCACCTAGTCCTCACCATAGCTGGGGGCGGCTCTTTGTCTCCATCTTGCAAATGAGTACGGGAGCACGTGGGAGGTCATGTCAGAGTGAGCGATCATGGTTTACGGGACCTGTGCCTAGACTAGTCTACTCAAATAATCTAAAGAACGTGATCCTAGCCATTATCTCTTACCCAAGCCTAGGGAGCTAAATGCCCCTGTGGGTTACCTCCTTCATCATCCCCTAGGAGTCGCCAGCTGCGGTTCACCATCTACATAGAGTCTCCTTCCATAGCCCCTCTGATGCCACATTCAAGAAGGTTTCCCTGGCTTTGCTGCAGCCTCCCTGATTGGAGATGCTTAGGGGAAGTGTGCCCTAGGCCCAGTGCCTGGAGGGGAGCCAGAACCCTGGAGAGCTGCTAATGCTGGCATTCGTCTGAATTTCCGGAGGATGGGGACGAGTTTACCTTTATATGCTCTGAGCCCAGCACCGTGCTGGCACATTAGAGACCCCCAAAACATTCATGTCTTGAATTCCTCCTGCAGGTTCTAAAATGAAGGTCTTCACTTGACTCCAGGTGTCAGCAATGAAACCTGGTTCACAGCTCTGACTGCACCTCACCTGTGTCTTCAGGTGCAGCTTGCAGAGGTTCAAGGGGTACTGAGCAGCATGTGGTGAACTAAAGGACTTGAGCGGAAATCGTCAGGGTTTCCTTGGAAAGAGGCTTTGTGTGTGTTAGTCTGAGAACTTCGTGAAACTCCTTAAAGTTATAAACAAAATTTATAAGTCTCGGCTTTACGCTAGTACCCCGCCCTTTAGAGATCAGCAAATATCCCTGAACACCTTAAAGTCCTCTGCTTTCCTTCCAGCCTCAAGGGTAGATACTGAGCTGGGGAGGTCCTGCTATTGGTCAGGACTGGCAGGACACAGATTGCACACTCAGGGGATAAAGGGTTCAGGGGCAAGATAAAACTGTGAGTAGAGTAAGGGCAACCTGCCAGGGAGGTTATGCTTTCTGGAAGGTGTTGCTACACCCCCAGGGGCTGAAGGAGAAGTGGGAGGGGAAATGGCACTGGGAATTCCCAAGGACCCTGAGGGGAACTGGGGAAGATCTGACTTTCCAGGCTCCCTGGGTGCCTCTCATTGATCAAACTCAACCAGAAACAGAGCAAAAAGGAGCCTGGTTAGTTTAGCCTATTAAGGCTGTGCTCCGAGGGTTCAGGATAAGCTGGGAGGTAGAGGAAGGAGAGGAAATGATCATCCCATCCTCCATCCACACTTTGTGGGACCTAAAGATGAGTGTGGTGAGCCTGAGATCTACCATCACAAGGCCCGAGAGGAAGGCTGAGCCAGAGGGGACCCCCATCACAGAATGTGGCATTCAGACCCCACCCTTCTAGAGGAAGAATGGAAGGTCATGGTCCTTAGGATCATCTGTCATCCACTGTACCAAGAAACTTACAACCTAGACTTCACAGCTGCAAAACCTGATGTTAACATGATGATGAATCTGCCTACAGGAAGCTTCATCCCTGTTCCCTGTTCGGGCCCTTCCAGCCCCTACCCTGACCCTCTCTCATTGTTCACTTCGGCACCTGCAACATTTTAGGCCACCCCAAACCCTTCCAAGAGTATATTTGATGATGCTGTAATTTTCTCCTTTCCTAGGTAGCAGGGCCCTGCTGCTAGAGCTCCAGATGATGAATTTATTCATAGTGGCAGGTGTACTGGATGAAACTAAAGAGATTGGAAAATTATGTAAAATGTTTGAGAATGTGCACACTAGCGCTTACATTTAATGGGCCCATTTGAAATAGTCCCTGAACCCTGAAGCCAAGACAAAGTTTGATATCTGGGAGGCAATGTGTTTAAATATTTGTGATTCAGAAGAGCCTGATTCTGCATGTTTTCCTGATCCTCAACCCCTCCCTGGGTCTGTCTCCGGGGTGCAGGCTTCTTCCTATTCATTTCCTTCATGATTTAAAAGGGGGCAGTTGCATCTGCATTACAATCCTTCATCCTGAGTCTATTGGAGATATTATCCTGAGATAAGTAATGATGCCTTCATTGTACAGGTGGGGAAATTCAGACGTGCATGATTAGACTGAGCAAAGGCAGCAGTAGAATCCAGAAGGATCTGAACTCCTCCCCATCCCTTGTTTTCCTCCCCCTTTCTTCCTAAAAAAGGGGTAACTTGATGTTTTGGGGAGGAAAAATCTTTATTGGGGGGCATTTTTGTGCACTGAAGAATGTTTAGTCGCATCTGAGGTCTCTACCCAATAAATTCTAGTTGGACATGGTGGTGCAGGCCTGTAATCTGAGGCCGGAGACTTGGGAGGCTGAGACCACGCCCTTCCCCAGCACTTGATGACACCCTAGAAGGTCTCAAGGCATCCTGGAATGTCAAGACCTAGGACCAGGGAGGAGACAGCCTCCTGCTGAGAGGCACTGCCTTCCTGTCCACCATGTGAACATCCAGACTCTCAGGTGTTGGATTAAGTAACACTAAAGACACAGAATATATTTAAAAATCTTTTTTATTATTTCTGATGTATCAGCAGGGTTAGGGATTCCATTCCAGAGTGCAAGTTCCAATTCTCTCAGCCTATTTCCTGAGAGCCCAAGGAATGTCCTTCTGCAGTCCTGCAGGAGGGGGCATGACTGGAGTGGCAGTCTCCACAGGGAAGGCTGCTTCCCAGGCAGGACAGAATCTAGGCATGCACTGTCTGTTCTCAGGAGGCCAGATGACATCCTGTGCAGCTTGCCCTAGAGCAGGGCTTTGTCAAGCCAAGCCACACATCAAAAAGGATGATTGTCAGAAGCAGGAGGTGAACAGGAATGCTGCTGGCAGCAGGGCTAGCTGGCTGGAAGTCCCCAGTCCAGCCAGGAAGCTTTGAGCGTCTGAAGAGCCTTTGCCTTAATAATCCAATCTCAGCACTCCAGGCACCCAGGTGCCCCACCTGGGCACTCAAGAGGGCGTTTTTGGTATGATTGGAGCCCAGTGTGCTGAGCAAGGTGTTCTGCTCTAGACACCTGTCCTTCCCTCACTCCAAGAAGTCACCTGTAAGACCTGGGTTATGCCCCTTACGTGCTGTCCGTCAGCTGACTCTGGTGGCTTCCCTGGGTCCAAGGACAGGGCAGATGGTACATCCGAAGCCTGTGCTCCTATCATTTTAGAGTTGCTGAACCGTAGGTTTCTCTTCAGTTCCTCCAATCTTGATTTTCTTTGAATGATCATCCAGTGGGGACCTGGAGATTTTGGCCCCTTTGTCTCTGATGTCACTGTTTCCTTAACTCTAACCTAAGAGAGATTCAGAGACTCACAAACTGTGTGAGCCATGGCCTCTCCTCTGGACCCAGATGGTTGATTCATCCTTTCAGGGTGTATTTCTTCCTCCTCTGTTTTACCAGTCATCTTTGTCTTTGTGCTTGGGGGCAGGGGACACAGTGTTTGCCTATTTGAACCAATCACCATTTCTCTCGTCCCCAAAATGTAATTGAAAAGAGTCTTAATGGCTTCCAAATGATGATAGCTCCATAAACCGATTAAAAAGGCTTTAATAAAACTGTCTTGCGATCCCCTCGCAGAGGCAGATGGTGCCCTTTGTTGTCTAATGATACCAACTTTAAAGAAGGGCTTTTGCTTCCTTGCGGGGCCGCAACTCTGGGAAGGCCATCTCCTGACTGCCTCAGTGTTCATCCTGTGTTCTTCTCCTCCTCCCAGACGATCCACGTCGCCATCGTCTGTGCCGGATACAATGCCAGCCGGGACGTCGTCACCTTGGTCAAGTCCGTCCTCTTTCACAGGTAGGAGCATCCTGTACATTCTAAGGGCTGGGGCATCTCCCTGGCTGCCTGGGGGAGGGTTAAGTAAGAGTGACATTACACCCATCTTTCTTGCTGCCATGAAAACACCATTTTTCTCCCCAGTCCTGGGAAGGTTATTGTGGTCATAACGTTTCCTGGCAGCAGTTAGGTGCTGCCTTGCCATGGTGAGAGTTGTAGCTCTCAGATGTCGAGGGACCTTCCAAGTCACCCCAGATTAGGTGCTTCAGTTGTACCTAAGCTGTAGGCAGCTTCCCCTGCTGCCATTCACCAGATCTCTCTTTTTATATACCTGCCTTGGAAGGTTATGTCTTGTGTCTCCCCAAAATTCATATCTCAAAGCCCTAAACCTGATACATCAAAATTCCACTGTTTGCTGATAAGAACGTAAAAGAGGTGTATAAATTTAATAGATCTATTTGGGTGGGCCCTAATATAATATGACAGGTCTTTTAGGAAAAAGGACATCAGGACACAGACCCTTAGCGAGGGAGACCTTGTGAACACACAGTGAGCAGACAGCCCTCTGCACACCAGGAGGGGTGGCCTGAAGAGATCTCTGATTTCTAACCTGCAAAACTGCAGAAAAAATGACCTTCTGTCATTTCAGCCAGCTATTTGGGGCATTATGGCAGCCCTCCTAAACTAATACACATTACTTTCTCTGGCCCATCTGTGGGTTTTTGTGACTGTTGAGAAGTCCTGCTTTATATTAAACTGAAATCTACACGTGCCCATAGCTGATATTCATTGGCCCTGGTGGATTCAGTTATGGAACCAGTTTGAGAATTGGTTTCTCATCCACCTGAAAGCAGAGGTGCCTCTCGAGAGTCTTCCCTAAGTTAAACTTTCACCATTTACTTGCTTTCTCATGGGACATTTCTTCTGTCCTCTCACCATTTGGTTGACATCTAGACATACTCACATCCAGAATCATGTCTGCATTTCCACCTGGTGTCCTCGGCTCTGTGCTGACTTCTTACCAACAGTTCAGAGGAAGCTCATCCACAATAAATAGTGCAGGGTATATCAGATGACCAAGGCAGGCTCCAGAAGGTTCTCGTCAGAAGCAGAGTCTTGAGATGCTCTCAGAGTTCAGGGTAAAGCTTTACACCTGAATCGCAACATGTGGCCCAACTATGGATGGCTGATACCAAGACATGCCAACCCTGTGAGACCCTGGGGTTCCACCTTCTCCCTCAGTCCCCCCACCAGGCTGTCTGTCATCATGCCTTGCGGCTCTCCGTAGATGTCCCTCAGGTCCACCCCTTCCTCTACATCCCACTGTGGCTGTCACAGCCTAGGTCTACCTGTTCTCTGACTCACAGATGTCTTCCTGCCCTTCAGACCCACCTCTTCTGACACCAGAATGCTGTTTCAGTCAGGCGGCTGTGATCTCTTCAAATCTTTCAATTGCTTTTCCTTATCAAGGAGAAAGAATTGAACCTCTTTGCCGTGACATTATGACAGTGGGGGGGCTCTGAGGCCATTCTCCATATCCCTGTCCCTCCTCTCCTTGCTTTGGCTTCATGCCCTGCAACTCTGAGCTGCTCGTAGCTCCCTGGCCTCTCCAGGGGTTCCACTGGCTGATCTCTTCCTGGCAGGCCATCTCAACACTTCGTCCCTCTTCTTCTTCTGCCACACCCACAGTGGCAGCTCCCCCCACTGCTCGTTTTGTGTTGCTGTGACAAAATACCTGAGATCAACGCCTTAGAGAAAGAGAGACTGGTTTTGGCTCACAGTTGCAGAGGTTTCAGGCCAGGTTTCAGGTTGGCTGGCTTCATTTGGGGGGGGGGGCTTTTGGTGATGCAGAGCATCATGGTGGAAGGGCATGGTGAAGTGACATTGTTCACGGCACCTGGGGCCAAGAAAGAAAGTGACAGAAGCAGAGGGGACAGACTGAGAGAGAGGAAGGAGTAGGATCTACCTTCTCTTCTTATTATTTTTTATTTTTTTACTTGTAGATGGACATGACACCTTTATTTTGTTTATTTATTTTTATGTGGTGCTGATGGTCGAACCCAGTACCTCAAATTACAAGGCAAGAGCTCTCCTGCTGAGCCACAACCCCAGCCCCAGGATGTCCCCTTTAGGGGACATCCCCAGGGGTCTTCTTCCCCCAACTGGACCCCACCTCCTACAGTTTCTTCCACCTTCCACTGATGGCATCAAATTACTAATGCATCAATGGATTAATCCACAGAGGAGATGAGAGCCCTTATGATCCAATCACTTCCTCACAGCCCCGCCTCTGCACATGGCTGCATTGGTGACCAAGCCTCCAACACATGAGCCTTTGGTGACATTCCAGATACAAATCATAATAACCTCTTACCATGGAAGTCTTCACAGGTATCCCTTTAACAGAGAGCCCTTCTGTGCCTCTCACCTGGGGCGTTGGCCTCTCTTCCACCAGATGGCAGTGCCCTGTGCATCTTTCTGTCGTATTTCCTACCTTGTTCTCTGTGTATCCATCCAAAGTATGTTTTCTGTGGCAGAATGTAGGCTTCTCTATACCTTATTTTTCTGTATCCTCCGTTATCTTAGCAAATATATGTCTTAGCAAATATCTTGATGCTTGATGAATGTGCACTTGTTTACCAAGTGACTCTGGGGCCTCCTCGGGTAGTGAGGAACCTGGAGATACAGTCATTCAATCAACCAGCTGACAGGCCCAGCCTAGACTTAGTTCAGTTTCCGACTTTATTCAGAATTGCCACCACACAGCTGAGTGACTTTCAGCGGGTCACTTAAACTCTTACTTAGCTTTTGTATCACTTAGCTTTTGCTCCGAAGCCGTTCACTCCAGCTTTCTTGGTTTACATCATGTACCTCTTCCTGCACTCACCTTGGTGTTTCTTTTGAACCCCCCCACCACACACACACACACAGGTGGCTGTATTTAGCTGCAGGTTAGCCAAACATCAACTTGGCTGTCCTATTGCAGTGGGGAACCGGTGGAAGAAGGGAGCAGGAAACCTACATAATAGTGTCAGTTAGAGAAGGGGTCTCCCACCTCTTCTTCCTCCTCTGTCTACTTGGGACTATGATTTCAGTTGCCCACTGGAGGAAGAAAGAGGACTGTCAGGGAAGGAATGGCCAATGGGCTCAACCCCGTGGTCTTCCGGTTCCAGGGGGGATGTGCATCCCACACGGCCCAGGCTGCTGTGCCATGTCCGAGCCGCCTGTGGTTCTGCAGCCTTTGCCTGCTGCTTGAAACCAGGGGCCGTGTTAGCTGAGCCGACTCTGATGAGATTAGTGAGTCTCTGCTGGTGTTTGTTGCCTGTCTCCCTGATAAAAAGAGCCCACTGTTCTGAAAAAAGGTATTTGCATGATTATAGATATTCAATTATGCTATTTCTCAATTATGACTAATTTTAAGGTCACAGGATCTTCCTAGGTTATTGCGAGTATAAATTTTATTCCTGTTGCTTTTGCTATGGATCACATCATCCAGTAGTTGTTGAAATTGTGAAAACCCTGTTGAGTATAAACTTTCACTCCTACAGTCACCATGCAGCACAAAGAGGTTAAAATTAAAAATAGCAGTTTTATTGTCAGCAGCTGCCGGCAGGACTCCCTTCCATGTGAGCCTGGGGTTTGGGGAATACAGGCAGTTTAATGTTTGTAATGAATATTCTGCCACTCTGTGAATGGCTGCTTGATCTTCCTGGACCAAATACCACTGAAGCCCACCCCAGTCTCTGAAATCCTAGGAATAAGAAGAATTGTGTGAACTGAAGTGCTGGTGATAATGAGTTGGGATATCAAGACAAAAGGACATTGAACAGGCTTTCAGCTCAGAAAGTCCAGCTATAAATAGCTTCATTGCCTCCCAAACACGTTTGGAGATTTACTAAGACATGATTATGAAATATGTTGACAAATGAAGAGCCTTCCTAATGTTAATAATATAATAATAGTGACATACAGTGCTTCTTTGGGCTTTCACTGTTAATTACAGTCATTATATTTATTTTCCGTGCAGGATTTTCAGCAAATTTTCACTTAAGTATGGCTTTGTTATGTCAATTTTCCTTCTGCAGTGGTGACAGTGAGCATCCTATATTTTAAAAGGTGGTAAGAGAGTTATGTGAGCACTCTTGTCCACCAATACTCGCAGAGAAAATTTGTTGCTGTAAAGTTTTGGAAACAAATTTCATTATATATGCCAAAGGCCTTGGCCTTGTCCTCATAGGATGACCCAAGCTAGAGAAAAACCTTTTCAAAAATACTGAATCTATTTTAAAACAATAAGAATAATTGAATATCTTCTTATAATAAACCGTGCACTCAGCTTTAGAAAATATGTCATCACACAGAGCAATGCAGATGATCTAAAATGAGCAAAAGTAAAATTGAAAATAGAATGTGTCACCTGAACTCCAGTGTCCAGACAGGCATGCACGCACGTACAGGGTCAAAATACAGGGATGAGAAAATAGCAGAAAATATATGAAAATGTCACTTTTGCAAATTGTGTTTGGTGAACTTTGTTTATATTTTCTCCATTTCATATATTTTTGGGTCCCGTCATTACACAGCCCTTATGTTGATAAAAAAAAAAAAGGTGGATGAGAAAAAAACATATAAGGTGTATGTGATGACGTTTTAGTATTAGTAGAAAATAGCATAATACACACCCATGTCACCTCCGCAGAAGAATATTCAGTGAAAAGTTTGGAGAATGCCAGGAACACCAATCCCAATGGTAAATCAACTGGGAAATATTGCTGCTCTTGAAGAAAACCCAGCACTTAGCAGGCAGAGAAAATAAATATTTATTTAGTAACTAAGCGTTTACCTCCTGGGCAAGAGGGTGGATGGCTTGTAAAATTTTAATGTTTTTTTGCCAGGATGATCTACTGGCTCTCTCAGTCTGCATTCCTGTTGGCAGGGAGAAAATAGTTATTTCCCTTACTTTGCATGTCAAGCAGTTTTTCTTCTTACTGTTTTTAAAAACTTCCCTGATGCGCCTGGAG